GACAGGCTAGGCTCCACCCATACCTTTTTACGGGCACCACGTTGGCACCCCCCACCCAACAAAAAGCCCTAAATGTCACAAGTGGTAAATAAATACATGAGCACCCAGTCAACAGAATCCCACAGATACACAAATAGATCCAGTTTTATCCTTAAAGAAAAACAATTGTCCATAAGGGCTGCACCAAAAGGCCGTACACACCTGTTAACACCAGGCTTATAAAGATGCAGGATCCCGCAGTAAACAGACACACACAGGCATACAAATAGACCCAGGGATAGCCTTAAAGACACAGATTTTCCCCCACAAAGCCACACAGAGTGTTAGACACCCATGCAAACAAGTCAATGCCTGTAGACACCCAAGTCCACATTTGCACAGACCCATGTGTTCACCCACATGGGCACACACACAGACCCGCAGCCATATCCGTGGACAATGAATGGTGTTGTCACGCACCATCCAGTTGTTTTGCCCCGTACACAGCTCCCGATGCACACAGAAGGAATCACTGTGCGGTCCTGCACCATCCTCACCTGGTTAGGTTTGAGCCCATTGCTGCAGCTATTGTATCCCTCACTCGCATCCAGGGTCTTCCTCTTTCCCCTGACCTTCTACTTCGACCAAATACAATATCCTTTTTCAAAGGACGCGAGGCTCGGTCTTGCCATCCTCCCTTCTAAAGAATATTCTGGTTGTTCTTCACGGACAATGCCTCAAACACTTGCCACCACCAAGTCACTTTCCGGCTCACAGTGACCCTAGAGGACACAGGTGGACTGTCCCTGTGAGTTTCTGAGGCTGGAAATAGTTATGGGAACAGACAGCCTCGTCTGTCTCCCTTGGAGTGGCTGATGGCTTTGAACCGCAGACCATGAAACCTAATGCCACAGCCACTATGTCACCAGAGCCAAGGCAGAGCAGCAACCAATTCACACGCAGACACAGGCATGTACCCATGACACATGCAGACACACACACACACACACACACACACGCAACACTGAAACCAGCCAGGCCAGTAGAGACACAGCCCCAGGCATCACACAGGCCCATGGTCATGACCACCCACTGCCACAACCACACACAAATGGACCCTGTGCACTGTAGCCCTGAAGATATGCAAACAAAGTCACGCACAGTTGAAACACACCCCACTCGCTAAGACCCTCGAGGGCATGTGGCTCCTACCCACAGCCAGGTTCATACAAAGACCCAAGAAGAAACGAAGCACTCGGATGGTGGTGCCAGCAAAGGATGTAGAAATACCATGGCCTGCTAAAAGGACTAACTAATTCGTCTTGGAAGAAGTACGGCCAGAGGGCTCCCTTCGAGGCAAAGATGGTGAGACTTTGTCTTACATACTTTGGACATGTTGTCAGGAGAGACCAGTCCCTGGAGAAGGACATCATGCTCGGTGAAGGGGAAGGACGGTGCAAAAGAGGCAGGCCCTCAATTCTGTTGTGCATAAGGTTGCTATGGGATGGGGCTGACTGGATGGCACTTCATAAACAACTACAGTGGTACCAATGCACACAGAGAGCCTGCACACACACACACACACACACTCACTCACTCAAGCTGATCAAAGTAACCGCACACAGACACACACATAGGAGTTCAAATGTCCACCGTGCACCCCTGCCCTCTTTTGGGTCCTCATTTCCCCTTCCCTGCCTTGGGGGTCCCAGAGTTTCCAGTTGCCTCCATTTCCAGTTACCTCCACCCTCCTCTCACCTTTGCCGGCCTTGCTCTGGGGAGATCACTGTCCAGCTCCCAGGGGTGACTGGAGGAAGGAAAACTGCTGAGTCGTAGTGCCGGGCCTTTCTACCACCACCCACCCCACCCAACCCCGGAAGTCACTCTCCCACAGGGTGACCTTTCGCCCCAAGACATCGGGTTGGAATGGAGCCCCTTACTTCCTTTCTAGCCCCTGGGCCCTGGGTGGGGCCAGAGCCAGGCAGGAGGTCAGGGGTGGCCCAAGAGGGGTCAGAGTACTGACCCAGTACTGGCATGGACCCTAGGGGACCCTTAGCTCAAAGAGGACTTAGCGTCCCCCTCCTCAGCTCTTGATTTGGGGGCTCAGAGTGGACGCCAAGGCTGCAGGAGCTCAAGGTCCCTTCACGGTACAGATGGGGAAACTGAGGCCTGGAGGAGGGAGGCACGCACGACTCAGGTGCCACTGGGCGAGGAGGGACTGTGGGACGCCTCCATGCTCCACACTCCCTGGTGGGGGCAGGGAGCCAGGGGAGGGAAGTTCCTGGAACCAGAGCTCCCCTCTTGCCCCTCCCCTGGTCTCCCCCTCCCACTCCCTGACGCCAAGACAGAACAGAACCATGCCAGGCCAGGCGTCATCCTTCATTAATATGATATGACTTCCTGAATTCCCTCCGGTCTGCCTGACAGGGACTGAAGAGTCCTGGGGGGGGGGGAGCTGTGTGGCCCCTATGGGGAGGAACTGCCGGAAGCTGCAGGGGTCAGCTGGGAATGGGTGATAGGGAGCAGGGAGGTTGGGTAGGCAGGGAGTGGGGACTGTGGTCACCGGGTGGTGGAGGGCATGGTGCAGCCTTTAGGGTCAGGCCCTCTCTGGTCCCAGCAATATTCACCCTTTGTCACAAAGACACCCTTTGTGGGTGGGGCACTGGCTATGGCCAGCCCACGAGGCTAGTGTCACCCATTGTGCAGATGAGAAAACTGAGTCTCACCAGCTTCCTGCTCTTACCTGGGACCACCACACACAGCAGGCAGAAGCCAAAGTCAGGAGGACTGGGCTAGCCCCCTCGCGATCTCATCTACACCTTAAGGGCCTTTCTGAAAGTGAAGGAGAGCTTGGAAGCCCCCCGAGTAGCACAAATGGTCGGTTGGTCCACTAACCCCAAGGTTGGCAGTTCAAACCCCCCAGCTGCTCCTCGGGAGGAAAATGAAGCTGTCTGCACTCATAAAGATTGGCCACCTCCCCTAACCTCCTTCTACTGAGAGCACCGTGGGCTGCCAAAACAAACAAACAAACATATTTGTCTCAGAAGAAGTTCAGCCAGCGTGCTCCTTAGACTAGAGGCAAGGATGGCGAGGGTTCATTCATGTGCTTTGGACATGTGGTCAGATGTCCCCAGAGGACATTGTGGTTGGTCAAGTGGAGGGACAGCGAGAAAGAGGAAGATCCTCAGCCAGAGGCACTGACCCAACCGTTGTGGTAAGACACAGTCCCAGGGAGTGTGTACTGTGTACAGTCCCAGGTAGGGGGTACTGTGATGTGCTATGATTCACAGGTTCTGACTCACAGGGACCTGAGGCAGCCTAGGATGAAAGACTGCCTGATCCTGCGCCCCCCCCACCCCACCCCAACTGTTGTGATAGCTGAGTCCAGGGCTGCAGCCACTGTGCCCTCCCTCCCCGGGAGGCCCTTCCTCCTTTGCACTGACCCTCTATTTTCCCAAGCATGATGCCCCATTGGGATGTCCCCAACAGGGCCAGATGGTACCCCAGGCACCTTTATTCAAAAAAACCAAACAAAACAGTGGCCAGCAAATTGATTCCAAGTCAAGGCGACCCGACGTAGGTGTGTGCGTGCATGCGTGGAGCTGCGCTCCATAGGGTCTTCTCAAAAGCCGGTCCCACCTTTCCGCCATCCGGCCCCCCTGCAAAAGGGCTCCACAAGGCCCAAGGCCCTTACGCAGGCCACCGGGCTGAGCCGGGCTGACCACGCTGGCCTCATGACTAGAATGAGCTTTCTGGAAGTCCGTTTTGCAGGCGCTTGGCCTGGGGCCTGGGAAGGCTGAGATGGGGAAGGGGTGTGTGTGTCCCATTTGCAGATGCACCCTGGATGCCCTCCATCCTGCAGCAGCTGGTCCCCATAGGACAGGACATGGGCTCTCTCTTTCCTCAGGCTGAGTGTGTCAGGCAGGCTCTGGGCTCCAGGGACTGGCTTTTCTCCCTCCTCCACCCCACTCCCCCCTCTCCCAGCCTTCTGGAAGGAGTGAACTGTGTCCAGGGAGCAGAATACTTGGTGATGCCTGGAAAACAGTGAATCAGGGGGGTGGGGGTTGGGGGGACTTCCTGATCATTTCCCAATCCCCTGGCAAAGTTGGACAACCCCAGGGCCTAGGGCCTGAGTCTAGAATAGACTCAGGAGGCCACCCCAGATAGCTGGCTGGGTCACTCCCTCCAGGACTGGCCAACGTGTCCCCTTCCTGGCTGCCTGCTTACTGGTGGGCTCCAAATTCCTAGTGGGGATGAGTCAGGGTCGCCACTTGTCATCCCCCCCCCACCAGGCGGGGCTGGACAGGGTGGGGGCAGGGCCCAGAGCTGCGGGTGGGTGGTGGCAGGTGGCTTGGTGCTGTTGGGGACCTGGCGTGGGCAGAGAGAGAGAGCGGCCATAGGGAGGGGACAGAGCTTCAGAGAGCAGCAGCCGAGGGGGGAGCAGGCCTGGGAGGGGAGGGAGGCTGCAGGGAACAGGGGCAGGGCTGAGAGAGGAAATGAGAAGCAGTGGGGAGGGCAAGAGGAGATGTAGAGGGAGGGAGGGAGGGGGACTCCGCAGAGGCAGAGAACTGGGCAGGAGAGCCCTGGGAGGGGAGCCTAGAGGTGCAGCAAGAAGAAGCTGGGAGAACAGAGGGGAAGAGGTGGGTGACATTGAGGGGCAGGCTGGGGGAGTGGGAGGAGGTGGAGCCCGTGGGGAGGGACCTCTCCTCACAGACAGGAGGAAAGGGTTAGGGACACTTGGAAAGGAAAGCAGGGCGTGAGAGAGAAACGCAGACAGACAGACACAAGACAGCAGGGAAGCTGACCGTAAGCAGGTCAGGAGATAGGCAGAAAAAGATAGAGCCTCCTGCTGCTACGAAGACCCCCGCGGGCACTGCCAGTGGTGGGCATCTTAGTGGACTGGGGCGGAGCCAGAGCAGGAGCCCAGGCAGGGCCCCGGGCGCGTCCGTTCCCACCACTCCCCTCCTTGGGGGACCCTCCACTAGGACAGCACCCGGGCGGGCAGCCGGAGGGGGCACGCGATGGCTGATTCCTGCCGGAACCTGACCTATGTGCGGGGCTCCGTGGGCCCCGCCACCAGTACCCTGATGTTCGTGGCGGGCGTGGCGGGCAACGGGCTGGCCTTGGGCATCTTGGGCACGCGGCGACGGGCACACCCGTCGGCCTTCGCGGTGCTGGTGACCGGCCTGGCAGGCACCGATCTCCTGGGCACGTGTTTCCTGAGTCCGGCCGTGTTCGTGGCCTACGCCCGCAATAGCTCCCTGCTGGGCCTGGCCCGGGGCGGCCCCGAGCTCTGCGACGCCTTCGCCTTCGCCATGACTTTCTTCGGCCTCGCCTCCACCCTCATCCTCTCAGCCATGGCGGTGGAGCGCTGCCTGGCGCTCAGCCATCCCTACCTGTACGCGCAGGTGGACGCGCCGCGCTGCGCCCGCCTGGCCCTGCCCACCATCTACGCCTTCTGCGCCCTCTTCTGCTCGTTGCCCCTGCTGGGCCTGGGCCGCCACCAGCAGTATTGCCCCGGGAGCTGGTGCTTCATCCGTATGCGTGCCGCAGAGCCGGGCGGCTGCGCCTTCTCGCTGGCCTATGCCAGTCTCGTGGCCCTGCTGGTGGCCGCCATCGCCTACTGCAACGGCTCTGTCACCGTCAGCCTCTGCCGCATGTACCGCCAGCAGAGGCGGCACCAGACCTCCCTGGTGCCCGGGCCCCGGGCGGGCGAGGAAGAGGTGGACCACCTGATCCTGCTGGCCCTCATGACGAGTATCATGGTAGTGTGCTCCCTGCCGCTCACGGTGAGTCCCCTGGGAGCAAGGGGTGGGGTGGGGGGAAGGGAGCGCACCCCGCAGCGACTACGCCCTCCAGCCGCAGGACCCTTTGGGAAGATAGGGAAACTGGAGTCCGGAATGGGAAATGCCTCCTGACTTGGTAGCCACAAGGGGCCCTCGGTAGCCATAGGGGGCGACTGGCAAGGCTGCTAACCACAAGGTCCAGTGTTCGAATCCACCAGCCACTCCGAGGAAAAAAGATGAGGCGTCTTGCTCCCTTCAAGAGTTCCAGCCTTAGAAACCCCCAGGGGCAGTTCCACCCTGTCCTACAGGGTCCTAGAGGGAAATCGACTCGATGGCAGTGCGATTGGAGTTTGGGATCGGTCCCCAGTTTTGCTTCTCTTGTAACCCCTGCAACCCTTCCTTCTTCCACACTCTCAGGTGTTTCCTGTCCTCCACCCCCCATCAAACTAACCCTTCCCACCGAAATGTTCCTTGTTTGCTCATTTTCATCCAGTCGATTCTGACTCATGCGAAGTCCCCCATGTGTTTGAGTGTAACTGCCCCACGGGCTTTCAAAGGCTGTGATCTTTGGGGACCAGGTTGCCAGGCCTGTCTTTCGTGGCATTGCCAGATGGTCTCGAACTGCTAACCTTTCTGCTAGCAGTCTAGCCCTAACGAGACCAGGGTTCCCCATCCCACCCCACCCTTATTGCTCTAGTCAGACTCAACTTTCATAGCTTATAGGGAGCCCGGGTGGGATAGGTGGTTATGCGTTGATCAGCAGTTCGAAACCACCAGCTGGTCTTCAAGAGAAAGATGAGGCTTTCTACTCCGTAAAAGAGTTACAGTCTCGCAAACACACCAGGGCAGTTCGACTTGTCCTTGTAGGGTCGCTAAGAGTCGGCAGCGACTGATGGCAGTGAGTTTTCACGGACCCCCTGGTCGGGGCTTGCCCCGTGCTTGCTGGGTGCCCTGTGACAGGAGTACTATCCCCCAGGGAGGCCTTCCCAGGCTGTCATCTATCTCTTCAGCAGCAGGTGGTCGCCTCTAGCGGCTGAGGCTTCCCACCACAGATCTTTCCGTTAGCAGAGGACGGTGCGTCTCATGGCGTCACCAGGACTCCTCGCTCAAGTCCACGGTTTACCGACACGCTCCCTGATTGGCTCCGAGACAATCTACCTAGATCTGCCCTTTCCTCCCGCCGCTGCCCTGCAGCGGAGCACAAGCTCACGAAGAGCGGAGGTCCCGGGTCAACCCCTCCCCCATCGCAGCCCCTCCCCGTTCCAGCCCCGCCCTCCAGTCTCAGCTCCACCTCCCCGCTCCCCGCCCCCCTACCGTCCCCGGTTCCCCACCACCTCCCTCGCTTCCTGCAGCGGCACCAGCCGCATCCCTCCTGTGTTAAGACCGCGTGGGGGTCGTCGGCTGTCTGGGGTGTGGTGACACCCAGGCATCTCACCTATATGCTAGGCCGCCTCGGTGGCCCTCCGCTGGGCAGGGCTGGCTCTCAAAGCTCCTCCACCCCGGGACGCAGAACCTGGAAGATGTGGACCCGCCCGGCCCCCCCCCCCCCACGGACACCGCAGTCCTGCAGGGGATTTCCGGGGACCTAGAAACCACAGAAAGGAGCCCTGGTGGCGCAGCTGTGAAGCACGTGGCTGCTCAGGGAAAGGTTGGCTGACTGAGCCCACCTGCCCCTCTTCTGGGAAAAGATTCAACAGTTCAGTTCCGTGAAGCTGGCGGGCTTGGAGACACCGTGGGATGGGCGGCACTGTGCTTTGTCTCCCTTACTCTGAGCCAGACAGAGCCACAGTGGGTAGATAGCACAGTCCGGGAGCCGCAGGGTCGTCCCCCACCCCCCGACCCCCAGCTGGGAAGAGCTGAGAGACCCTCAAACCCAGCCCACCCAGCCCACCTCCCTCTCTCCAGGCCCGGCACAGGGTGGGGGGTTATGTTCCCTCCCTCAGTGCCCAGTTGGACTCCTTACTTCCCACATCTGACCTTCCCCCCCCCGCCCCCCATGAGCTACTTGGGAGGCCGGGGCGCTGAGATTGGGGGCGCCAAGGGCCAGTGGAGGGGTGCTGGGGTGGGCTGGGGGGGGGGGGGTAGGACGCACCTGTGCACTCATGTAAGGTGCACAGGAGGTAGTGAAGGAGTGGAGCTCAGTTAGGGTGCAAGAGGGTAGGGGACTAGGGGCGCTCAGGTGGCGGTTTGTGGGGACGGGGCGGGGCGGGTCACGATCGGTGCCTCCTGACGTCTGGTCCTGCCCCCCCTCCAGATCCGTGGCTTCACACAGGCCATCGCCCCTGACAGCAGTGAGATGGGGGACCTCCTCGCCTTCCGTTTCAACGCCTTCAACCCTATCCTGGACCCCTGGGTGTTCATCCTCTTCCGCAAGGCCGTCTTCCAGCGCCTGCGCCTCTGGCTCTGCTGCCTGTGCCCCCGCGCGGCCCGCCAGGATTTGCAGACGCCCCTTGCCGGGCCCAACGCCTCCAGAAAGACCTCCAGGCTACCCCCGAGCCTGGGGGGCAAGGAGGGCAGCTGGGTGCCCTTGTCAGCCTGGGGCGAGGGGCGGGTGGTCTCCTCGCCTGCAGCGCCAGGCTCTGGCAGCCCCTTGGGAACGCCTTCCAAAGCAGAGACAGCGGTAGCCTGCTCTCTCTGCTGACCCCTTAGTGGCCAGGTGACCTCGGTTACCCTTCTGGAGCCCCTTCCAAACCAGCACCCCATCAGTTGCCTCTGACTCTGGGGGTGTCCCTCCAAGTGTCAGAGCCGAGGGGTTATCAATGGCTGGTTTTGGGGGAAGTGAGTTGCTAGGCTTTTGTTCCCAGGCACTTGGAGGTGGACTTGAAGCTCCAACCTTTCGGTTAGAGGTCAGGAAACGTGGGGGCATGGCTGGCCCCCTGGCTGTGATTGGCTCCGCAGAGCCCTCTCCCCCAAATTCTGGGAGGCCGGTGGGGGCGATCAGCTGCTATTTCTCCTCCTACCGCTGGGTGGCGAGCGTGGGGATGAGAGGAGGACGTTTATCCCAGAGTGCAGAAAGGCTGGTTTTCTCAAAATAGCCAGTGGCCTGGGTGGCCCTGCTGGCCCTGGCTCTTCATCCATCTCACTGTCTAAATATTTAGAAGGCAGGAAAGTTCCCAGTAGCTCTTTGCGAGTTCAGGGCTGTTGGGGTTAGGTTTTTGGCCCTAATCCTACGTGTCCATAGTGCCCGAGCTGCCTAATCCCAAAGGGCCCAGAGGACAGCCCCCACCTCTAGGAGACTCTGAGGAAACACTCTCCACCCCTCTTATTTCTGCTCCAGGGAAGCCAGGGATGCTCAGAGGAGCACCCTGAGACTGTTGCTCTCTGCCTCCCCTTCAGGCAAAGAGACCCTGGCTTGGGGGAGTCACCAGATCTGGCACCCCAAGGGGAGTCAGGAGGCAGGAAAGACTGCAGTGTGATGGGCGATGATGTTGGTCATATGCCTTGTGGGAAGGGCCTGAGAAACTCTGCAGGGATCATCGAAGTGGAGTATGAATAAAGAGCCGTGATGGCACCGTGGAATAGGCCTTGGGCTACTAACCCCGAGATGGTTGGTTCAAACCCACCAGCTTGCTTTTCAGGAAGAAGATGAGGCTGTCTGCTTCCGTAAAGATGTACTCTACATAGGGAGCTACGGGTTGGAATGGACTCAATGACAAGGGGCTTGGAGCATGGGTGGGGGCAGACGGAGACTAGGGCCAGAGGATGGAGGAACGTGGGCTGCAGACCCCAAGTGTCTCTGGACTGTCTCAGGACTGCCCTAACCAATTGAGAACACCTGAGTGGCTTAAGACAACAGGACTGTGTGGTTTCCCAGTTCTGGAAGCTAGAAGATACCAATCAAAATGTCACCGGGGCCTCCACCCTCCCTCTGGGGGCCCTAGGGGAAGCTTCTGGTCTCTTCCAGCTTGTGGGTGGCTGCCACAATCTTTGGCGCTGCTTGGCTGATGGCTCCAAGCTCTGCCTCCATCTGCACTGGATCGTTTCTCTCTCCGTCTTCATCCCTCCGTGTCCCTGCTCCTGTGTCACAGGACGCCACTCCTCTTGGGTCAGGACCCACCCTACTCCAGGATACCCTCCTACTAACGGCTCACATCTTCTAAGACCCTATTCACAATCAAGTTCATGGTCACTGGTCCCAGGGACTAGGGCTTCAGCATCACTTTTGAGGAGATACCCGAGTTTGGATTCTTTTTGGTTTACTCAACCCATCAAAAGGAGCCCTGGTGACGTAGTGGTTATACCTTGTGCTGCTAACCGCAGGTCAGCAGTTCAAAACCACCAGCCGATCCTTGCGAGAAAGGCGAGGCTTTCTACTCCCATAAAGGGTTTCCGGTCTCAGAAACTCACAGGGGCAGTTCTACCCTGTCCTATAGGGTCACTATGAGTCAGAATGGACTTGGTGGTAGTGAGTTTGGTTTGGGGGTTTGCAACCCATTGAAGAAGGGTGGACGTCGAATAAGGAAGACCGAAGAAAGATGGACGCATTTGAATTCCGGGGCTGGCCACAAATATCGCAAGTCCCGTGGACTTCTGGGAGAACATTCCAACCTCTCTTGGGAGAAGTACACCCAGAATACTCCTTGGAAATGAGGACGGCGCGACTTTGTCACCCAAGCTACATGTCACCAGGAGAGATCTGGAGAAGGACTTCTTGCTCGGCAAAGTAGAAGGTCAATGAACGGAGCGAGACCACCTTCGCCAGGGCATGGGTTGACGCAGTGGCCCTAACAACAGGCTCCGGCATTCCAGTTGCGAGGATGCTGCCGCAGCCAGGCCTGGCTTCCTTCTGCAGTGGGTAGAGTCGCTAGGAGGCAGACCCGACTGGCCGGCACCTGACGACAACCACGCCACCCATAAGACTAAGGACACAAACCTGCGGTTCCTCACGCCTGGCCTTGCTTCATGTGACCCTGGAGCGCTCACAACATTTCCTTCATTCAACCAACACCCTGGGGGGCCGAGCGAGCGATGGAGTGAGGGACAGGCATGAAGGAAAGCAAAGTGGTCCCCAGAGGGAGAAAGTGCCTCCACGCTGCCAGCCCATCTGCGGGCCCCCGCACCCTGTCTACCACCTACAGGATGGACGAATTTGGGGCGCAGCAGGCCCAGCACACCCTCTCACCCCATCCTCCCAAAAGGCCTGTGCTGAGTTCCGAGGGGCAGTCACCAGAGAGGAGAGAGCAGAGGTGGGGGGCAGAGGCAGGCTGGCCAATCTCGTTTCATCTGCCCTCCTTCTCTGTACGTTGGTTCCTTTTTTCATAGAAAGTTGATAGTCATCTAGCGCTCGGCTTGCAGCGTGGTTTGCCGGGTTGGTGTGTGTGTGTGGGGTGTGTTCAGTGAGTCCCCTGGAAAGGAAGCCTGCAATAAATGGTACTGTTACTCCTCTGGCAGCAGTTGCTGTTGTTTTCTTTTGTTCTCTGGGCACAAGTGGGTTGAACGTGAGTTGTTCTGAAGTGGTTGTTTTGTGTGTGTGTGTGTGTGTGTGCGCGCGCGCGCGCTCTTGGTTCTTTTCAGTCACCATTGCTTCAAAGACCAAAGGGAGGATTAAACCCGGGCCAACAAAAATGCCTCCTGGGCACAGGCTGCTGCTTTTTGTTTTTGGAAGGGGGGTGGAGGTGGTGGAAAATGTTCAGGAATGAAGTCCTAGGGAGGGTGGCCCACCAGGGTGAAGTTTGTTTCTTTTTTAAGCCAGTTCTGTTGGCACACCATCTACATAGCATACAGCTTGATCGTTCACTCACGTCAAGAAGAGGTGTACTGTCAGGACCCCATTCGATTTCAGAACGTTTTCTTCATCTTTTAAAAAAGTTTTATTAACACTTCATCCATGTGTCTTACGATTCAGTAATTCAGCCACATCAAGAAGAGTTGTCTAATGGTCATCACAGGCAATTCTAGAACAATTGCTTCTTCCTTCCTTGTGCTCATTGTTATTCGGGCCATTAATTTTTTCCCCCCTAAACCCCCACTATCATGATCCCAGTTCTACCTTACAAATCCAGCTGGACCGGAGGAT